GTTAGGTTAGGTTTGGGTTAGGTTAGGTTGGGTTAAGGTTAGGTTAGGTTGGGTTAGTTAGGTTAGGGTTAGGTTAGGTTGGGTTAGGTTAGGTTGGGTTGGGCTTAGGTTAGGTTGGGGTTACGTTACGGTTGGGTTGGGTTAGGTTAGGTTGAGTTAGGTTAGGTTGGGTTAGGTTAGGTTTTAGGTTGGTTGGGTTAAGTTGGGTTAGGTTAGGTGGGTTAGTTAGGTTAGGTTGGGTTAGGTTAAGTTGGGTTTAAGTTAGGTTAGGTGGGTTTTAGGTTAGGTTGGGTTGGGTTAGGTTTAGGTTGGGTTAGGTAGGTTTGGTTACGGTTTGGGTTAGGTTAGGTTAGGTTAGGTTTGTTTGGTTAGGTTAGGTAGGAGGTTAGGTTGGCGTTAGGTTAGGTTAGGTTGTTTAAGTTTGGGTTAGGTTTAGGCTAGGGGGTTAGGTTAGGTTTGGTTGGGTTAGGTTTGGTTAGGTTAGGTTTGGTTAGGTTAGGTTTGGTTAGGTTAGGTTTAGCTAGGTTAGGTTTGGTTGGGTAGGTAGGTTGGTTTGGTTAGGTTGGGTTAGGTAAGGTTTGGTTGGGTTAGGTTAGGTTTGGTTAGGTTGGGTAGGTTAGGTTAGGTTAGGTTAGGTTAGGTTGTTTAGGTTTAGGTTAGGTTAGGTTGGTTAGGTTAGGTTTAGGTTAGGTTTGTTTAAGTTAGGTTAGGTTGGGGTTAGGTTTGTTAGGTTAGGTTGGTTTAAGCTTGGGTTGGTTAGGTTTGGTTAGGTTTTGGGTTAGGTTAGGTTTGGGTTTAGGTCAGGTTTTGGTTAGCTTGGGTTAGGTTAGTTTGGTTGGGTAGGTTAGTTAGGTTTGGTTAGGTTGGATTAGGTTAGGTTAGGTTGGGTTAGGTTAGGTTTGGTTAGGTTTGGTTAGGTTTAGGTTAGGTTAGGTTTGGTTAGGTTAGGTTAGGTTAGTTGTTAGGTTTAGGTTTTTATTTAGGTTAGGTTAGGTTTGATTAGGTTTTAGGTTGGTTAGGTTAGGTTTGGTTTGGTTAGGTTAGGTTAGGTTAGGTTAGATTAGGTTAGGTTTAGGTTTAGGTTAGGTTTGGTTAGGTTAGGTTTTTTAGGTTAGGTTAGGTTAGGTTTGGTTGGGTTAGGTTTGGATAGGTTAGGTGGGTTTGGGTTAGGTTTTAGGTTAGGTTGGGTTAGGTTTAGGTTGGGTTGGGTAGGTTAGTTTTTAGGTTGTTTAGGTTAGGTTAGGTTTGGGTTGGTTAGGTTAGGTTAGGTTGGGTTAGGTTGGGGTTAGGTTAGGTTAGGGTTAGGTTTAGGTTTGGTTGGGTTAGGTTGGTTAGGTTAGGTTAGGTTGGGGTTGGGTTGGGTTAGGTTAGGTTGGGTTAGGTTTGGGTTAGGTTTAGGTTAGGTTGGGTTGGGTTAGGTTGGCGTTAGGTTAGTTTTAGGTTAGGGTTGGGTTAGGTTAGGTTAGGTTAGGTTAGTTAGGTTTGGGTTAGGTTAGGTTAGGTTGGTTTAAGTTGGGTTAGGTTAGGTTTGGGTTGGGTTAGTTTAGGTTAGGTTGGGTTAGGTTTGGTTGGTGGGTTAGGTTGGGTTAGGTTTAGGTTGGGTTAAGTAGGTTAGGTTAGGTTGGGTTGGGTTAGGTTTAGGTTAGGTTAGGTTGGTTGGGTTAGGTTAGGTAGGTTGGGTTAGGTTAGTTGGGTTAAGTTTAGGTTGGTTGGGTTTTAGGTTAGGTTAGGTTGGGTTGGGTTAGGTTAGGTTAGGTGGTTTAGGTTAGTTGGGTTAGGTTAGGTTAGGTTGGGTTAGGTTAGGTAGGTTAGGGTTAGGTAGGTTATGGTTAGGTTAGTTAGGTTAGGTTAGGTTGGGTTAGGTTAGGGTTGGGTTAGGTTAGGTTGTTAGGTTAGGTTAGTTGTGGGTTAGGTTAGGTTAGGTTGGGTTTAGGTTAGGTGGGTTAGGTTAGGTTAGGTTAGGTTGGGTTGGTTAGGTTAAGGTTAGGTTAGGGGTTAGGTAGGTTGGTTAGGTTAGGTTGGTTTGGGTTAGGTTTAGGTTTTTAGTTTAGGTTGGTTGGTTAGGTTAGGATAGGTTAGGGTTAGGGTTGTGGTAGGTTAGGTTTAGGTTGGGTTAGTTTAGGTTAGGTTGGGTTGGGTTAGGTTTAGGTTAGGTTAGGTTAGGGTTAGGTTGGGTTAGTTAGGTTAGGTTGGGTTGGGTTAGGTTAGGGTTAGTTAGGGTTAGGGTTGGGTTAGGGTTAGGTTAGGTTGGGTTAGGTTAGGTTAGGTTGGGTTGGGTTTAGGGTTGGGTTAGGGGTTTAGGTTAGGTTGGTTAGGTTAGGTTAGGTTAGGTTAGGTTGGGTTAGGTTATGTTGGGTTAGGTTAGGTTAGGTTAGGTTAGGGTTAGGTTAGGTTAGGTTACGTTGGGTTAGGTTAGGTTAGGTTAGGTTACGTTAGGTTAGGGTTAGGTTAGGTTAGGTTTACGTTACGTTACGTTACCTTACGTTACGTCGGGTTAGTTACGTTGGTTTAGGTTAGGTTGGGTTAGTTAGGTT